GTAAGAGTGTGTGAATTTGTAAGAGTGTGTGAATTTGTAAGAGTGTGGGACTTACTAAGTTTGTGCATGTTAAGTTGACAAAGGGCCAGGTGTGCTAGCTAACTTTTTGCCAGTTTGACACAGCTAGTCATCAAAGAGGAGGCAGCTCAAGTGAGAAAATGCCTCTATAAGTTTGGGCTGTAGGCAAGATTGTAGGGTATTTTCTTGATTAGTGGTTGATGGGTTCAGCCCATGGTGGGTGGAGCCATCCCTGGGCCGGTGGTCCTGGGTTCTATAAGAAAGCAGGCCAGGCAAGCCCTGAGGAGCAAGCCAGTAAGCATGGCCTCTGCGTCAGCTCCTGCTCCAGGTTCCTGCCGTGTTAGAGTTTCTTCTATGATGAGCAGTGATATTAAAGTACAAGCCACCCCCACAAAACCAAACCAAACAACAAAAACCAAAACGAAACTTCCCTCCTTCCCTCCCAGGTTGTTTTGGCCTTCGTGTTTCCTCACAGCAGCAGTAACAATGACTAGGACAACAGGATGGCTTATTTTAGAGGTGGGCGCTGGGGCTGTGTCCAGCCTGGTGGGGACAGAGGGGGCAATAGACCAGGCTAGGGAATGAAGAGGAAAAGGAGGAGTCACAGGGATGACTGAATAGGGCCTTTGGGCTAGCTGGGGTAGGTTGGCTGGTGCAGGCAAACAGCCAGGGAGGGGAGACACTGGCACAAACCATCACGCACACTTGCATTGCAGCAGCATTTATTGAAACACAGATGGGTCAACCCAGAAGGCAAGGCACCCATAGACAGAAAGTGACAACAGTCCCCACCCCAGCAGCTCTCGCATGGACAGTTCTCTTCTGCACAGGCAGGCGAGGCCTGGAGCAAGTATGGAGTCTGAAATGTGCAAAGGCATCCTGAACAGCAAGATCTGTTCAAAGCTCCCTAGCCAGGTGGGTTGTAGGACTCCCCAGAGAGCAGACTATGCCCTGGGAGCTAACCCAAGGAGTCTGGCCAGAGCAGGCTGCCCCAAGGAAGGCAACCAGTCAGGAAGGACAGCAAACCCAACCAATGGTAGGCAGGTGCTTGCTGCCTCTGAGGCCCTGTACCTGGGGCCAGAAGTGGGAGATGCTGGGGGTTGGAGTTCCCTCTGGTTCTTGGTTTTGGGGGTCATGGCTGGATGGTTAGGCTCATGCCTTGACCCAAGAAGGCCAAGCTTTATTGTTCAGCTCTCCTGAGTGACCGGTGGTGTCCTGGAGAGCTTTGTGAATGATACAAATCAGTTGTAAGCATTTGAAGACAGATTGGAGTTGAGGGAAGGGCTGGGAATGACCTTCTAAAGTGAAGCCAGAGGAGAACTGAGAAACAACTCCCTAAAAGGAGAAGGTGGAGGAGAGTGGCCCTGAACTCTCTCCCCCTACAGGAACGTCTGGAAGATTCTGGAAGCAAGCACACTCTTTCCATTCACACACCACTTCACTCTGGGGCAGACAGGTGGCTCAGCTGGAGGTCCTGGCTCTAAGCAAAGCGCACTGAGCGGCTGCTCCCACAGCTGAAGCTGGAGGTGCGTGGCTGGTAAGGAGAGCAGGAGTCAGGAGCCATCACTGTGATGCTGCCCCCGGTGGCTGAGGGGCCAGAGGCAATCTGGCGCCCTGGGGTTGTGCCAGATGTGAGACCCCCACATGTGACTCCTCCACGGGAGCTGCTGACACCTGTGGGAAGGGAAGCAGGGAGGGATGAGGGGCTGGCTGGGGTGTCACACACCCACAGGTCCCTGAGGGCTTCACATGCAGGGCCTGCCTCTTCCTCGGGGGATCAGTGTTAACGTGACAGGCTCTGTTCTTTCAACCTCACAGCCCATCTGGAGAGATATGAGAATTCTTGGACCCATTTCCCTGGACTGACGTTCCTGGTGGCCACCAGGAAGGGGCACTCAAATTTTTGGAACAGCCCCTCCCCTCAGGAGTCCTTAGAGAAGAGGAAAGACTGAGAAAGCTGGGCAACCTTGGCAGTTCGGTGGGGGTGGTGCCATGGTCAGCTTTGCCCGCTCCCAAAGCTGTTTTTCTAGGGGGCATTTCCAGCAGATACTTACAGACATTCACAGAGCCCACACCCTCGCACAGCCTAGGGGAAAAGAAAATACCATTAGTTCCAAGCAGTGAGCTGGCTTTCTTGAGAATGTTGCTTGGGGACAGACAAGGTCAGCCTTTGTTCTAGGTAGAATTTATCTTCTGAGAGGCTTGAAGGGCTCCCCAAAATTCTCATGGAATGGTCACTTTCTTTTTTTGATGAGTTCCCATCCCATGGAGACCAGCCCTCCTGGTTAAGAGAATCAGGGACTTCCACACACTGCCTGCAATCAGAGTGCCTGAGCCTGCTGAATGGCAGTAGAGCTCACAGCGCGGATGAGGCAGAGCTACGTGTCCACAGGGAACATCATCCTTGTTACACAGCAGCCCAGCCTCAAGGGAAGCTACAATGGGGCTTTAGAAGCCCAGCACCTAGCATCGGGCACCAGCTCTGCAGCTTAGTAACTTTGTGGCCCTGGGCAAAGGTGCTGAACATTGAGCCAATCCATTCACCTCTCTTTGGATAGGAAAATGGTGCTTACCTGACAGGATGGAGGATTATAAATGGGCACTTGACATAGAGCATATGTGATAGGCAACCGTTATTCCTGAAGCCTGGCCTGGTGTCACACAGTTCACAGGGAGGACCGGGCTCTCTCCCCCGTATCCAAGGACTGACAGGCCCTAGCCAGCTTGCATGTTGAAGACAGTTTGGTCCCTCAAATGAATCCCCCTCACCTCTGCTCCTCGCCATCCAGCAGGCGCCTGTAGGTGGCGATCTCGATGTCCAGCCCCAGCTTGGAGTTCATCACCTCCTGGTACTCCTTGAGCAGGCAGGCCATGTCCTGCTTGGCCTTCTGCAGGGCAGCCTCCAGCTCAGCCAGCTTGCAGCGGGCATCAGTGAGGGCGGCCTCTCCCTGCTGCTCTGCCTCAGCCACTGCGGCCTCCAGCTTGGCACGCTGTGGGGTGGAGAGTTGCATTTTGTCAGCACAAGGTAAGGGTGGGGTACAGCTTAGCTCCTAGCGAATGGCGTGGGGGAAGAGAGCGCTAGAGAAGGCCCATGGCAGGTAATTAGCGGTGCTGGCAACTTGAGTAAGGGGCTGGGGCACGGGAGAGCTTTTCTGCATCTCTCCTTCCTGGTTGTGGAAGGGCATCTCTGTGGGAAATGATCTGGCTCATCCCAGGGTACGTGCTGTATGGCATGGGGGAAACCCTGCCTCCTCTCCAGGTCCCTGCTTCCTCTCGTGCTTAAGCTGAGCCATGCCATTCCATCCTAGCGGGCAGAGGGCCTGGTGACGCTGCCTGCCTCTGCTCATCGCTCAGCAGACCTACCTGGCCCTTGACATTCTCCACCTCAGCCGTCAGCCTCTGGATCACGCGGTTCAGCTCATTGATCTCCTCCCTGGTGCGGCGCAGGGTCTCTCCGTGCCGGATCACCGTGGCCTTCATCTCCTCGCACTGGAGGTTGGAGATGGGGGTCAGACGTTCATGAGGCACAGTAGGACAGCCGTGCCCTCGGCATAACACCCATGAGCGTGCATCTCCTGCCCCGCTCAGCTTTCGCAATGTTCCCACGGAGCAGCCCTGGCCGGCTAAGCAGCCTGAGGTCAGCCGGCCTTTCATTACCAGTCCCACGGAAAAGAGCCCTGTTCTAACAGACACCTGAGTGACTCCACACCACGCCTAGGAGGGCCCACCTTGGTGCGGTACCAGGACTCGGCCTCTGCCCGGCTGCGGCTGGCGATGTCGTCATATTGAGCCTTGATCTCAGCCACGATGCAGTCCATGTTCAGGTCCCGGCTGTTGTCCATCTTGACGATGACCGAGGTGTCTGAGATGTGGGCTTGGAGAACACAGATCTCCTGCAGAGTCAATAGCAAGGGCATCATACTCAGTGCCGTTCCCAGGCCTGATGCCCCATTCATGGGGCCAGTGTGGATCCTCTTCCAGGGTAGAGCTCCGGATGAAGGTGCGTGATTCCTGCCCCTACCACCTTCTGTCCCACACAGACACAGCAGAGGACACAAAGCCAGAAGCCCTAATCATCACCCGGGGGTCAGCCTCCGAAGTGAAAATGGGAGAAGTACAGGAGAGGCCTGACCTGAAGACGCAGGCAGAGGGGCTGGGCTCGGACGACAAACAGTAACTAGTCCAGGGTAACCTCTGCGCCTCGAATCCCCAGACACTCCACATCCACCTACACACTGGCCCGCAGACACACTGCAACATGCGGAGGTGCCCGCAGGCACAGAAGCCACACGCTCGTGCAGGCATGTATGCGAGCATTCTTATACCGTGAGCCCAGTCGCACTGTAGGTATATACATCCAACACTCTCCGCCCTGGAGAGCAGGGCCTTCGCCTGGGCGCGGGAGAGAGTGAGCCACGTAGTGCTGCTGAGCACTCACAGATGCGGCACCCCGGACCCGACCCCCCTCTCTGGGCCTCCTTTTCGCCAGCCGTGCCAGCGTGTGACAAGTGTCCCTACCTCTTCGTAGAGGCGTTTCAGGAAGCTGGACTCCTCCACCAAGGCCTCCACGTTGGCCTCCAGGTCTGATTTCCGTAAGTAGGCACAGTCCACATCCTGCGAGGGCACAGAGAGGAGGGAGGCTCGCGTGAAGGCCCATGGGAAGGGGCCCGGCCAGCATGGTGACCGCCCCTGGAGGTGGAAAAGGTGGCTCGCGCCCTCCGGCCCTGCACGTGGACCCTTACCTTCTTTAGGACCACAAATTCATTCTCCGCCGTAGCCCTCAGGGCCACCTCCTCTTCATACCTGGTGGGGAGGACGAGAACTCAGAGCCTACATCTCCAACCCTTCCTCAGCGCCTAGCCCAGTTCTCCCAGGGGTCACAGCAGGGATTAGACCAGTGGGGTTGTTGGCTTTGTGTGACCTGTGTGCATTGCCTCTGGCTAGGTCTTGTGTCAGCCTGGCTTGTACAAGCCCTTGGCCTGGGGGTGGGGGGAGGGTAGCACATTTCACCCCCAGTCTGAAATCATCCTTGCATCAAAGAGCACTGTGCGGGCGGGGAGAGCCCCCAGTCCCGTGCCTAGAGCAGGATGTGGGGAAGACAAGGTGACGGCCACTCGGATTTCTGCCCTTGCTCCGGGGGCCCGTTCTCACTCACCAGCTCCACCGAGCACACTCTCCAAAGCCCGGTACAGATCCCGCAGGAGCCGCTTCCCACCCACCATACACCGAGTGTCCTGGAGGCAAGCACACTCACCTCTTCTTGTAGCCCTCCATGGCCTCCTGCACGTGGTTGAGCTCAGCAGCCAGCCTCCCGCCATCGGCCTCCACACACTCAGCCTCCCGCCTCAGCGTCTCGATGTAGCCGGTGAACAGCGGCTCCAAGTTGCTCTCGCAGCATCTCTGGTTCTGGTAGAACTGCCACTTGGTCTCCAGTAGCTTGTTCTGCTGCTCCAGGAAGCGCACCTGCCATTTGGGGGGTGGGGATGGAGAGAAAAGACTTAGGGAGAGTTTAGAAAGTAAGTGTGTGTGTGTGTGTGTGTGGTGTATGTGGTATGTGTGTATTTGTGTGTGTGTGTGTGTTATGTTGTGTGTTGTATGTGGTAGGTGTCTGTGTGTTTGTGTATGTGGTATGTTTGCATGTGTGCTGTGTGTGTACTTGTGTGTGTGTTGTGTGTGTGGTGCGCTTTGCTGGAGCTCTCTGCTCTGCCATGCTGGCTGAACACACTGAACTTTGGCTGCAGCTTCGGCTCTGCTCATGCAGTGCTCAAGCTCTTGGCCCTCTTGTGCGTCTCACTTCTGTGATAATAGTGTTCCAGTTGTGAAGACGGAGCCAGCTCGTCCACGTGAAGGTTTGGAGCAGGCGCCGCCATGTAGCAGGGACAGCAGGTCAATAAACGACTAAGCACCAGCGGCTCCTCAGCCATTCCCAGCACACGCATCTCCAGTGTCCCCTCTCTGGCACCCCATGTCATGCATGCGTATGCACACACACGCACAGCACCCTATGGATGTCTGTTCTATGCCTAAGACATTTATTTTTTCCTGTGTCCCTGTCTTTCTCTGCTTCCATCTTTACCAACGTCTTTGCTTATTTCTGTTTCTATGTCTTTGCCTGTCTGTGTCTAAGGTTTTTGTGTCTGTGTCTCTGTCTGTGTTTGTGTCTGTCTGGGTCTAAG